TTGACACTGGGTATGTACATACACATCAATCCCAGTATATCTGCATTAAGAGATTTATCTGCCTGGCCAATTTAACAGCCTATCCCTACTAATGATTGTGAAAACATGAATATTTTATTCAGTGTTTGGGAGTTGTTTTAAAGTTATGACATGCATTTAATACTTTAATTAATCTAATGTGACCTACTCCAGTCATCTACTCCTCAGACTGCTTATACGAGCAGTATAATATGTAATATTTTTCTAAACAAATGATGAAATGACCTCTGCTGTAAATCAGAAGAATCCTTGAGGGCTTAATTTCACCCGCACTTTTAACAGTTTGAGTCACTGCACGTAGCACGAGGTGGAGGGTCACTGCAGCTGTAAAGGAATTATTAAATGAAAGTATGTCTCGGTTAAATTTACTTAAACTGTATGTTTATTCTTGTTCAGTAGTTCCCCCAAGGCCGAACCAAAATAGGGACCGAAATATCTCCCAGAGTTCGACCCAACGAGACGTGCCACCACAACTCATGGACTATCAGAATGACTACTCTCACCAAGGACGGTATCCCTCAGGGCACCCAAATACACCCTCGTTCCATCCAGAAGACCCATACACGTTGAACCGAGACAGACAGATGTACCAACGAGAGAATGCTCTCAACCGTGACCGCATGGAAGAACAGCTGCAGAGGGCAGATTACAGGGACAGTGATATGTACAGACGAGATTATATGGACCCTGATTATCGTAGGGAGTACGAAGAGGAATATGGTGAAGATCCACAAAGAAGAGCCGTATTAGAGCCTGGAGGTGTTCCCAGGTATGACTCAAGGGTGGAGATGCCCCGTGGACAGGCTCAGCATGTAGAGTATTACCCAGAAGAAGCCCCTTACAGAAGACCACAGACAGAAAGAGATCCGCTGAAGGAGTTCTACACCGAGGAAGTTAGACGAAGGCGACTTCATTCTGTTGAGTATCAGCCGTCGCAGCCGGTATACCCTGATGGTGATAACCATCGGTCGTCTCTGGACAGGGAATCCAGTAGACATGACGGTATGAATAGAGCAGGTAGGCAGGGATCGAGTGAACCAGAGGCCAACAGGAAGAGCTTCCCCACACCGCTGGAGAGTGACAGGTCGCGGGACCATTTGTATAATACGATCAGAGATTATTGCCACGAAATGAGAGAACCACGTCAGGAGGAGACAGTTGCCAACCGTGGGCCAGGCAGAACAGGACCCCCTAACTCCCAGAGACAAGTGGAAGTTACCAGGGCCATTTCTGACATCCCAGAGCCATTCAGGCGCTTCCTGAAAGGAGCTGCTAATGACGAGGGACACGGTAAAAGAAAAAGAAAGAGTCGCTTCTCTGATGCCACTGCAGAGGAGCTGGAAACCACAAAAGAGATGTGAGTGATAATGTCCCAGGTGGTTTATCTGTTAATGAAACTCCCTTATCTCCATGAAACTGTCTTGTTTTATTGAATGCTTTTTTCATCGTCTTACATTGTTGGACGTGTTTGATTTCTGCTTCAAGGTTCAGTGATGAGTACGGACCTCCAAATCCAAAGTTTGGCGGCCGCCCCAGACCAGTCAGTGCGCCGCTGAGACCTGAAATACATGGAATACAACATCCTGACCTCTACGCAGAATCGCAGGTAGTTCATTGTAAAATTAGGCTATTTGTTGTGATTAATTGGTAAATAATCTGTCTGTTTAAATGATCTGTTATCTGTATTAACTGCTGTAATGATGCCCAACCTGTTGGTGTTTTAGGGTCCACATCATACTGAAAGCTACCAAAGAGGAGGCTCTGAGTCAGAGGGTGTCTTTGATATGCTGGTAAGATCCTGATCTTATGATTCCTATGAACACGTAGCAGTGCTGTATTCGTTATGTAACCATTCATTGAAGGGGGGATCTTAACTATGTCTTTTACCCTTGTCACTTTTTTTCCCTAATAGAAAAACATTGAAATTGAGAATGCAGAAGAGGCTGACTTCCTGAAGAACAAACTTTGCGAACTTCTAAAAGAATTCAAGGCCAAAAAATCTGGCAAAGCCGGGGTATGTGGATCAGTTTTTCTAATGGAAAGAGTAGTTTCATTCTCTGCCTCTCCGCAGTAGGAATTAATTAAAGAAATATATGTTTTTGTTTGTTTGTGTTCAGCAAAATAGCCACAGTAGAACAATCATCTCCAAAGACTACACCAGCTTAAAACCAGACCCAGAGCCGTCTCCAAGACAGCAGTTTGAGACAATCCCCAGAGAAGATTCAGACCTCAGACGATCAGAAGACCTCTACTTTCAAGAAGATCACAGAAGAAGAGGCTGGAAGCAACATGAGCATATACCTGAGGAACGGCTCCAAGAATACCACCATCCTGTACGGGGCGAACCCAGACGCCCAAACTCAAACAGAAGCCGTTACGAAGGTAAATTGTATGATGTATTTTTATTTTATATAATGTATGATTTTCTATATGCTTCATAGCAGGCATTGGGTTTGTTCACACTCAGTCAGATTTGACAAAATGAATCCTCATTTAATTTCAATTCTTTGAATGTCTTTCCTTTTTTTTTTTTTTTTTAAATCAGAAGTTTTTGGGAGTCCAGATATGTCTCTCACACCACATGCTACACATCTAGATCAGCCAGCACATTATCCTGAAAGGTTTCAAGAACCCATGCACCCTCGTGACTACCAGCCTGCTGCTGAAGAGTTTCTGGACTCTCACTCTTCTGCACCTCCCTTCCACATGGAACGAGGACCCAGGATGGACAGGGGACCCCGGTACTCCAACAACCTGGACAAAATCACCTCCACACTAATGGAACTTGTGGCAAGGAAATAATTTTCAGATTTCCTTAGATGTTGTGTGAGCTAAATATCCATACTTTTAATGGAATACTTGATAATATGATTTTATGTTAATTTTCATTCTTCCTTAGTCTTTGTTCTTTAGAACATTTTCTGTAGACATTTGTGAGAAGTTGCTTCTTAAAAAAAGTTGAGTTTATGTAAATATTAAAACATTTGTCTACTGCATCTGTCATTTCTTTCAATTCTTTATATTACTGTTATCACCAGCAGCAGGAATAGCAATATCATTATTGATTGTTTGAGATGAAGTCTCAAACTGTGCAACACATTCAATTAAACTCTAATTTAAATTAAATTTAACTGAACATAACTGATGTTTTTAAACTATTTACTGCAGACAGTTGTGAATAAAGAGGTCCAATAAATGAAAATTGGTACTAAATCTGTCATGTTAGTTCTACCTATTCGTATATTTTACTGTGCCACTGTTATACAGTTTAATTAGGCATAAGTGTATATATTGTTTAACTAGCTCACATTAAAACTGGAGTCAATGTAGATCTCACCAGTTCACTTGTGTTTCACTGTGATCAATAATACTGTGGACACTGATCGTATTTAAGTTTTGACGCCATCGCTCAGGGAACGTCACTGCGACGTCATCGCGTTCGTGCGTTCAACTCTTTCCGGTTCGAGTAGCAGCCATCTTGTTTCCCCTTGCTAGCTAAATAAAATAAATAATACGCTGAGCCGGACTTCACTTCGAACCCGTAAAACAAAGTGAGTAAGAAATATTAAAATTGTATGTGTGCAGAATGTTTACAAGAAAGGAGCACGTGTTGGGCGAAAGAAGGGACAGTTACTTCGCTTCTTTTCATTTGCTGTTCTTGACCAATAGACGATTGTTTTGGAAGATGAACATAGGCGCCATTTCCCTCCCCGCTCTCTGAGGCGCTTATTGGTGGCCCGCTGAAGGGATCACGGGCGGTCAGGAAACTGCTGTTTTGTGTCCACCATGTTGGCTCTCGCCTGCCTGGTTGTCAGACGGAGTGGCCAACTCCACTGGGCCCCGAATGGCGTCAGTTGCAGAACGAGCTTAGCCCTAAAAACCTTGATTGGTGGAATCTAGTCCGAGGTTTGATTGGTCTGAAGGACAGATCCAAACGTTGTCTTTATTGGTTAGACTGCTTCTTCCTAGCCTTGGAAAGCTTTGCAAACTTTCATTTGATGGCAGGACTCGTTGTCCAGTGGTGATTAAAAGTACACACACTGCGGATGGTCACCTGTGCTGTAACACAGTCGCCAGTGTGCATCTCCAACAAGCTAACATTAACTTCACTGACGGCAGCACGGTTAAGTCACGGTCAACAGCGACCAGCGAAACGTTAGCTACTAGTGCTGACTGTGTGCGTTTTAACGTTGATGTCCCAAGTGTTTATCAGCCGATATGTGACAGTTTATTTCTATTTTAATATGCTGGTTTACTTTAGCGACCTTAGGCTCACCGATAATGAAAAACTTCCCGTATGCTTCCCTGGGATGTGCCTTTGGTTTCAGTGTGTACTGCTGGCGGCTTTGTTCGTCCTAACTGGCTTATAATGTATACTGTAACGACCTAGTTAAAGTGCAACATCTTATTAAAGGATAACGCGTTAAAGAGCTAAGTTGCCCTCATAGTTACTGCCCGTGTAAATGCACTGTGCTATCAATATGCAAATATTAAGGGTGTCTTTTGTTTTGCTCACTCAGGTTAGTTTAGGCAACACTTGATTAAACCTAATGCATACACCTAAGAATAGATTTTAAATGAGCCACAATATCAGAACAAAACAAAATGTTGAAGCTGCACTTTTGTCATTAATGATGGAAAGAACATTAAATGTGCTCCTCTCATATTAAAGCTATACAGAAAACAATACCACCTCTCTGCTGTGTCCCTAGTGAATGTAAGAATTCAGCATTTAACTATTCATTATTAGCAGTGGAGAGAAATAGGTTGTACAGTCTTGCAGCCTTTCCTGCAGCTTAATTTACTTCATTAATCTATTAGAGGAATAATTATCTGATTTTATTTCACTGTTCTCTGTTCTCAACGTCTCTCATGTTTAATGTAGTGGTCACATTATATTTAAAATGACTGAGGGTTGGTTCTACTTTAGGTAGCCTTAATCTGAGTAATTTGTGTGCAAATCGGTCAGCTAACCCTTTAGTCACTAAGGTGTGCATGTGTTGTTGCAAGTTTGTGGGTGAATGCATTGCTTGGCCTGGCTACCCTGCGGGTGCCGTGTATTTATGAAACCCATAGTCTGGCTGGTGTATGTTTATCTCTAAATAGCGTCCGTGAGAGCAAACATGTCCCTGCTGCGGGCAGCACAGGTCATGGGAAGGTCCCATTTGTATGGTGACCTTGCCAGGTGTCATTACTGAGGCATTTTGGTTAGCCAGAATACATTTACAGAGAAGACTGCTCTGGCATGGCAGCCATGCTGGAGAGATTAATCTTTGTGCAGCTCCACTCTAATCATTAACTGGATGGCTGTAGTACCTGCTCTAGTCCCCATGCTCCTCACAAAAATAGAAAAGGGAACATTTAGCTTTGTTTCTCTTGAGTCTCTATCTTGTTCTATCGCCCTCTCTCCACTTGTTCTACCCCTCCCATCCTGTAACAACTCTCCTCTCTGTCCTTCTCCATCCTTCCGGTTCCCCTCCCCCTCTAGATTTTTCATTGATGGGGCAGGTTTGCGCTCTGTCTCTCTCTCTCTCTTAAGCTTGTTGTGTTCCTCACTACAGTCGGGATTTGCAGTAATATGCAGCATAAAGCTTCAGGTCATGCTACCATCCTCTTGCAGAAGTTACCAGTTACTCTGGACAAAATTACATTACCATCACACCTTTAATTTCTGTCACTTCTACACACTTTATTGTCTTAACTTTAGATGTCTAAATGGGTTTGCGTGTTAGATGTGGAGTGGTGCATTAAACACTATGAGCTGCAGTGTCCTGCGTTGGTATTTTAAAGTAAAGGTTACGGTGTAGAAAGCAATCACATTATACCAGCGGTGAGTTAACAAGAAGGGCATTGTATGACATTGCTGACGTGGTTTTTTGATGACGTTTTAATTGTGGAAGTTGCTGTGAGCGTCGTTTTTTGGGGTCAAGACAACAATGTCTTTGTTTACAGACTTTCACCCATATCTCTCCAGTCTTGTTTATCCACAAATAGGACGAGAATCAAATGCACTCTTTTTTTTTTTTTTGCCCCCCTCTTCCTGTTCACCAGTCAGCTGATTCTTCTTCACTCCGTACAAAGGCTCCGTAATGATCTGTTGTGCAGTAATTAGTTTTTGTGTAAATTTGATTGACACCATAATTAGGATTTCATTGGATTAATGTTGTGGTTGCGGTAAGTTACATAACTAAATATTCCCATGAGTAATGATAATTTGTTGAATAAAGTCCAATGCAACTCGTTTATATTCTAACCGAATAATGAGTGACCATGCATGTAGACTATTTATTTTTTTAAAGCATTAGCATAATATTACCAGTACAATGAATCTCATTATAACAAGTAGGCTGGTTAGAGGCTAGATGTTTGCAGTGTGTACCTGTGACTGTGAGCAAGGATGAATGAGAAAGCAAGGGCAAAACGTGTGTGTGTGTGTGCATGTATACCTGTGCACACGTATGAGACAGCGAGTCTGCCTCGTATGCTTTTGTACTTTAAATCATGTGGATGCAACATGCGGCATCCATTCTGGCACTCGCTTCAGCCAGTGAGGGCCAGCGTGGCCGCCTGCATCACAGTGCTGTCAGCCTGTAGCAGCAGAGAGGAGGCGGGGCGAAGGGAGACATTTAGTTTGACATTGTAAATAAGCAGAGAGCAGTTGTCAGAGAGCAGCCCGTGGAACCTTTCTCATCCGTCCAGCAGCAGGAGCGGCACGGACCGCCCCGAGGACAAACAATGCCGAGGCAAGCCACCACTAGCACACCCTCACGCACTCCCCGAAGAGCTTTCTACAACTTTATTTGCTCTTTTTCACCTATTCTCGCCTCTACTCTCTCTTCCTCTTTTCTTTTCCCTGACCCCTATCCTGCAGCTCAAGGTAACTTAGAGCAGGAAGTTGGCTGTCGGTAAAAGGGGGTTGGGCGGAGGAAAGAGGAGGGGCAGGGGATGTGTCGGAGCCGATTGGTGTGCGCGGCGTCCAATGGCAGAGGAGGACCTTGTCTTCTCATTGGTTGCAAGTGCCAGAGTGAGGTGGGAGCCGGGTGTGAGGCGGGGTCTGGGTATCATGTAGCATGCTAGATTGATTACTCTTGAACGTTAAAGGGGAAGGAGGCTAGAGATTTTTGCCTGTGAGTCGGGAGTGCCGCTGTACTGTTTGCCTGCTGTTGCGCTGTTGCCTGCTGCTGCGCTGGCTTTCTATTCCCTCTCACCCTCTTTTCTGTGCCGGGCCAGGGGTCAGCTCAAAGACAAACCGCACAGGTCACCGGCTGGAGAGGGGGAGAGGGGTGAGAGAGTTAAAAAAAAAAAAAAAA